AAACAAACACTTAGCAACAAAAGAAGCTGTTGACCAACATAAGATAACCCCGCCAACAAACACAATTTCTGAGTTTTGTTGCAAAGTAGTACATGAGGATACAAAAATAAACAGAAAGGAGGGACCTGTGTCCCTTGGTGGATTCCAAGAAAATAATTTTATAGCAAGTACAAAAATCCTATTGTCCTACTCATCCATTGAGGGACACAAGAATTCCTCCATTTCTTTAGTTGTCCAAAAGCAGTCTAGAGCATTGGACAACTAACATTCCAAGGAAAAGCAACTAACACGCACGCAAGCACGCACGCACGCACACACACACACACACACACACACACACACACACACACACACACACACACTAGAATTTGCCCTGACAGGAAAGAGATAAACTGGATAAGCCTTCCTGACGAAGCAGACACACAACCTGGACCACATCTAGATAATGGGGAGAAATTTCCTTTTGTTGAACTGGAGTCGGAGAGAGGGGATAGCAGTAAAATGTCTTGGTTAACATGAAAGATAGAAACCTTAGGTAAAAAGGAAGTGCTGAGCCTTTACACTTCCTGGTCCCTATTGCAAAACCAAAAAGGCTTCCAATCAGCATAAGGCCATTGGTTCAGGCAGTCATCTCATAAAAAATGACAAAAAGAATGACCACCTTGTGGGTGAGAGTAGAGAGAGGAATATCTCTAATGAGTTCATGAGGTGATATCTGATGCTCTAAGAACCAGATTCAGATGCCAAAAAGTCCCAAAAAAAAAAGGGGCAGCCACAAAGGAAACTCCATGTGCAAATGTCTAAATCAAGAAATAAAACACCATTGCTCTGTAAAACAAAATAGATTGGGTAGAAACCTGGTCCTTGAAGTGCTGAGAGCCAAACTTTGGTTTTGACCAAGCTGTAGGAAAGAGGATTCATTCCATCCAGAAAAACTCCAAGATTAAAAGTCCTGAGATTCAAAAAAATGTTCCTGAGAATCAAAGATTCCCGACTCAAAAAAGAAAAAAAAAAGGGGGTGGGGGGAGGCTTATCCAACCATATAGTTAAATTTAACAACTGTGATTGGCACACCAAATCTGCCTGGCCCTAAGTAGAACAAGGAGGATCACCAGAATGCCCTTCATATCAATGCTGTAAAGAAGTTGGAAGAAGAAAGAAGGCTTCAAGGGAGGAAAAAAACGTAGCCCAGGATTGTCTACACCTAAAAGTGTGGGTGAGTGACATGGGAATGTGAAGTTCTGCCCAGGACAGAACATTCACTGTGAGCCATCTAGTTCCATTCCTTGTGCAACTGTAGGAATTACAAAAGAGCAGTTGTACATAACAGTGCATGGTCACGGAGGCCTAGGAGAACAGAGAGATGCCACTGACTTGACCAAGATAGACAATAAAAGGAGGTTATCCCAGAAGAAGCAAAGAAACAGTTTAAATAGTCATATGTAACATGACATCACAACACAATATCCAGCCTATAAATATAATAGAAAGTATATTACAAAAGGGAGAAAATAATAGTTCTCTCACACACTCCCCTGCTGCAGGTATAGAAACATCTCTAGGAAGCGCTAGAGGAACACTTCCTTAACTTTTCCTACAGAAGCTACTTTGAACAGAGCACGCAAGTGGATAATAATGCATAATATGGGGTCTTCAGAGACAGGGTCAGATGAACTGCTCCCAATAACTTAGCAAGGCTTCCCCTGATACACTGTGTGACTTGTGGAAACTAGAACACAGACTGGATGTCACTGCTGACCGTAGATCCATCACAAACAGAATACAAGTATAGAATTGGAAAAACTAGTGCTCGTTGGCCAAAACAAAGAAACTTTGAGATTTAAAATATCATGCATGAATCTACCAGCACTGTTGGCTTACTGGAGAGACTTCACGGGCATAAAGTGGTAGTAAAGCCTTTTTTTTTATCTTTTCCCTACAGGTAAGTCTGTAATAAGGCTTCCCTGTAGGTACAGGGAATATTTCCTAAATGTTCACCGTTGAGAAAATATTTACTTTGGCAGTGCAGGTGATGTCACAGCTGCATGCGAACTGCACTGCTTGAGTCATCTGTTGAGAGCCGTGCCGCAGCCGAAGTGATGTAATCGTGGCTCAGTCAGTCACACAACCGAAGCCTGCAAACCCGCAATGAAGACCAAATGAAGATGGAATCCCTGGAGACCCGAGGCAGTGCTCCGCTAGTGGGCTTCGTTTTTAGGGAATTCTTTCACAATGCGCTGCATACTAGCACATTATGCTCTTAACTTGCACAGAGATTTTTTTGTTTTATTTCTTGCAGTTTACTATCGCTTTGTCATATCCAGCATGATTCTACCAGCACAGTTGGCTGACTGGAGAGTCTTCCAGGATTTTGTTTGGGGGCTGATGTAAGGCTACTGGAGAGAACTGACATCTTATGTAATGGTAGCTGTTTTTCATGCATCATAATAGTCAAGCATCACCATAAGCCGTGTTTTGTGGATAGGCAAACAACGCAGACAAAACAGAACTGCTGGTATCAACCACAGCTGCACCGCTGATGTTGGTGGGGGAGAGGGCCCAGAGTACAGCAGAAGCTATACCATCAGGCACCAGTAAAATTAAAAATAAAGTGGAATACTACATAGGAAAAGAGATAGCACTAAATGTATTAAAAATATGGCATACAAATAAAGATTTAACTAATTAAAATGCCTAACCAGACCTGTTTTGTTATGATTTATTTAATATGTTACAACTCCAAACGGTTATAATTATATATAATTTTCCTTGAGAAACAGAAGTACCACCGGGCAGACCCAGACTGGGCTGAAAAATAGGCCCAGGCATTTTAGATTGAGCAGCCCATTTTATTTTTTTTTTAAACCAAATTACAAATAAGGACAACTACAGGTTTCTCCAGGTCTCTTAGTTATATTTATCCTGCTTTAGTCACTGTAATTTATCAATCATTTGGAATCATGTAAATATATGATAGTAAATGACAGAATGCATGCAATATATAAAGAGCTATATGGAGCGAGAGGTGACATACTGCAGTAAGAGGATTACTTGAGCAGAGTAAGTTCCTGCCTGTGTCACAGTCCCTCCCTGGAGGCCTGCACCAGACTCGATATGGAAGTAGCAAACAGATCCTGGCTAAACACATTACTTTTGGTCTTCCTCTGCCGGGTTTTTACAGGCAACTACCACTGAGAACCGGCATCATGTTCTGAGGTGAGGCTGAAGGGAGGACAGGTCAAGGAGGACTCAGAGAGTTGGTGTCACTCCCTAGAGGCCCACATGGCTTGCAGCAGACAGAGTCCCTCAGGTGAAAGCCAGGTGAATGATATAAGCTATATTATCGCATCATTTTTGTCGTAGTTGTAATCGTCTTGGGTTCTGTCATTTTAGCCAGTTCTTGATAGCAAAGCCGTCTTTAATATTGATTGGACACTGTAGAGTCCATGGAGTATCTCCTTACATATGTGCCCCCAGCTTTCTGCCTTACAACAGAGTTCCCAGTCTTCTCCCCTTTGCATCAGAGTTCACAGAGTTCTCTCCTTACATCAGAGACCCCCTTATACCAGTATCCCCCACCCCACTTACCCCAAACAGACACCACACCAACAGACACTGCACCCACAAACACTGCACCCACATACCCACAAACACTGCATTCACAGTCACCGCACCAAGAGACACTCTACCCACAGACACTGCAACCACATATCCACACACACTACATCCACAGACAACACACCTACTGCACCGACACCCCACCCACAGACACCCCACCCACTGCCCCCACAGACACTGCACCCAAAAAACATCACACCCACAAACCTACAGACACTGCACCCACATACCCACAGACACCGTCACCCCACCCACAGACACCCCACCCACAGACACCGCACTCAGAGACATGACTTATCACAAGACCTCCATCTTACCCTCTCTAAAGGTGGACATTTCTTCTGGTCCCACTCTAGATAGTACAGGAGGAGAACATAAGTCACAGCTGAGGGTACACACCAGCCACTTACCCAGCACTCAGTGGAGAGTCTCCCTACAGGGGTCCGGCAACGGATTGTCATGACATATACTCAGGAATTTGGCACTGCTCAGGGTGCACAGTGACAGGTGGAGGGGCAGTTCAAAAGTGGCACGCAGAAAGCCTTAAGGAAGCGCACAGCCTGCCATTTATAGCAACGATCCTCCGTCTTCCCCTTCCAGCAAATTGGGCACACCCACAAACTCCAACCATGAAGGTGGCTGGACAGGCGGGGTGGGCCAAGAGTACCGCTCCACCCACCTCCTGTGAAATCTAGGACTGCTCAGTTAGCTGTCATTGAGCGTAGCATTGCCTGTTCAATGTAATGTGCTGCCAAGCAAGTGACTGGAACGGTACTTGTCAAGTACAACCAGTGCTGCATTGGACATGCAGCCCCAGCCCACTGCCCCAGCCCACAAATGCCCAGTGTGCCCTATGGCCAGTCCGGGCCTGCCCCCGTGGTATATGTAACACTGATTGAAAACCTGCAATATACAACAGAGTAGTCTTTGATGTTAACATGTCTAATCATTTGTACAACGTTGTGTATACTGTATACTCCTTTCTTTTTTACACTACCTACTCATTATACACAACAGCTCCATTGTCTCCATTTTTTAAAAAATAAATGTTTCAACAAATTTATTCTTTTCCCCCCAAGTGAGATTTTGATGCATTTCAGTAGAATGTAAGAGAAACCATGGCTGGCTGAAAACAGACAGATATCTCCCCAAGAACTATGGTTGTGAGACATCTAGACATTTTAAAGTGGTGCTACATTGCTCCAGAAATCACTATATTATCCTCTCCAACAGGTTGAAAAGTGAAAGGTACAGTCCTGGTTACTGCCCACATGGAAAGCCCTACAAGTGACAATTTATATCAAAACCAGGGTCATTGGCTGAACTTGCATTACTAAAAAAATAGTAAACTATCCATAAAAAGCACTTTATTGTATGCTTACCGGATACATTCTGACAAGTAGGAGCAATCATTGGACTCAGAACTATAGTAAATCGAGCCACTGAATTCCAGGAATGGCAGAGTATCTTCCAAAATGTTCTTCTTCCACACAAATTTCTAGCAAAACAAATAAGATCAATAGACAGACCCCATGTAGCTTGAACTTTTTATTAGCATTTTATTTAACCTTTTATCACTATTCACTACTGTCCTAAAAATTCAGAACATTTTCAGCTGAAGAAATGAAACTCAAGTATCTCCAATGACTCTAATACCATCCAAGTCTAAACTTGTAAAAGTACTGCATTAAACCACTTCCCAGCCAAGCCTTTTGCTGCAGCAGATATTTTTTTTCTCTTCAGATGCGCTAATCACATCATTTGGCCAATATGAAAAGCCAACATTTCATATTCCTGATATGTGCCTGCTGTACCATGTACTTGCATGAAAAATTATCCTGCTCTCTTTGTATTGCTTTCTTTGTGTGAAATCCCTGGTCTTCCTGCTAGGCCATCTTCTTTCCTATTAAAAACTGACTACACTAGGCAGGAGAGCAAAGCGTGGTCAGTTCTCTGTACTGGGAACTCAGCCTGCTCTCCTCTAAATGATCAGAGTTGTGCTGACATGCCATTAAAACAGATTAAGCAACAAAGCCAAGACATAAATAATGCTCATATATAGGAACTTTTGAAAATGTAATTAATAAAAATCGGGGCTGGGCTAAGGCTATATTTACATGTTGTGCATTGTGGAAACACGCACCAATTTGAGAGCTTTCCCGTGAACCACAGAAACATGCAGCCCTTTGGCACACGTGCACTTATGCCATTACTTCTTAATGATGCCCTCACACGTTACTAACATGCAAAAACGCGCCTATGCAGTTTGGTACAATTCAATTTTTGAAGAGGGTCATGACATTATTTTGCTTATTTCTCCAGAGTAGGATAGCCCATTGAAATGAATGGGCTGACGGAATTAAGCAAAAACACATACAAATTTCATCACACCTGCTAGGTGTGAATGGAGCCTAAACATGGTGCATTGTGAAGAATAGTGGGTGCAGTCAGTCTGTGATAATACTGCATTAACTGGAATCCCTGAAAATGAGCCTGTGGTGAAAGTGTCACATTCAAGTTTGGCTAACAGCTTTCCTGAAAAAACCCTCCAAATGAGGGAGCTGGAAGCTATGTAATCTGTCATTTTTGCTTATACCCAAAGATAACTCACTCTCACTTCCTTTTCTAGCTACTCTGGCTGTGCTTGCTGGCTGTGCTGGTTGCTGGCTGAGCTGGTTGTCAATTTGCTGGATGCCAGTGATATGTTCCATCTTTGCAGCCTCTGCCCATGTGTTTTGTGCAGCTCTCCCACAGTTCGGAGAATGTACTCACTCAAGCAGCGCAGCATGCATGACTCACAAAAATAAAATTAGTTGTGAAGATTTCATTTATTTTAGAGAGAAGTGGGAGTGGTAATGTGTTTCTAGGGCTCATTCTCTTTATCACACTCACTTCTTTTCCCGTACGTGTGATGTCACAGATGAGCTGTCCACAGTGCTGCTAAGAGATCTGACAGTTAGTCTTCAGGCATTGGTGATTCCCAGTTCTGAGCAGCACTAGCTTAGGACTCACTTGTGGAATGGAGTGACACTTTCAGGAGGCATGATTGTTTATATGCTTCTTTGATATTATGAGTGGCCACTTCTTATATTTACACATTTATTAAAGGATTCAAACTACTGCACTTAGTTTGTGCCCTCTGTTATCCATTTCTTGTCAGCCTAACATTACCCTGATTTCCAGAGGAGCTGCTGTAAGAGCTGTGCTTTTAATCCTCTACGATCCTGCAACTGGATAAATAGCTGAGTTAATGGGAGACTTGCAGAATTATCATTTCTACTATCTTCATCTTGTAAAGACACTTTGGACTCCAGATTATGAGCTGTATGTCTGGCTTATGGCAGTACCTGTGTGCACTTAGTGGATGCATGTGCATGTTTTTTTTACACATACTTTTTTGGTTTGTTTCAATCATTCCTATAAGATTATGACTGACTATCTGCTGCAGTGATAACGGTCTAAAAAAGGATTTTCCCTCACTTCCTGATGTGTCTACAGGACAAGATACAAGGAAAAAAATCCTACATGGGAGACAGACAGCAAAAGTGAATTCAAAACCTCCAGGAAGAGTCGATTCCCTAGCATAGTCACAGTCCCCTTCTCCCTCATCCTTCCAGCTCATGGCCCTCTTCTCTTCTAGCAGTGTCTAATTACAGTCTGCCCTGGCCCAGCTCCTTTGTCCCTCCCCTCATCTGCCTATATACCCTTTTATGTAGCTGCTAGGTAAAGAGTGAAAGGTAATACAATCAAATGTCACTTGAGCAAGGGCTCTAAGACTGTTGGTTCTGCAGATATCCCATTTAAGATGGCAGCACCAAGCAGCAGTCTCAGGGTTTTTGAATGTCTACACAAGGGAGGCTTTTTTCAGGTAAATAATAGAGTAAATGCACATACAATATCATAAGAAGACTGCTGCTGAAAGAAAATGTTATCTCTTAGGATTCACATGTTTATTGTACACTTCATCCCAATAGATGTTACATTTTAGGCTGTGGTGAAAGCTTCCTTGCACACATCATCTATCTTACAAATCAGAAAAGTACCCCGACAATAGTGACTTAATAAACATTTCGGTCTATGGGACATTAGGTGACATGGGCTTTTGGGGAAGTACACAAATCAAGAAGCGACTGTTTTAGACAGTGGATTGTAGTGCAAGAATATTAGCTACTTTCTGGTATGCTCTGGTACCTACCTATTTGAAAACATTTTGTGACTAAAAATGAATTGTAAATTAATCCCCACTTGCCTTTTTCACTTCACTGGGGCCACTTGCACCCCTGTCAGACATCCAGCTGGGAAGCTTTCTTTGTTCTCCACTCATTTTCATATAAAAAATACAAGGTAAAAGCAACACCTGCAAAAAAAATGTTTGTGAAACATAAGAGCGGTATTAAACGCAAAACCAAAAATATAATATTTACCAATCATTAGATGTGATGGCTGCATCAGTTTTTTTTGGTTTTTTTTTAGACTTTTACCCTCTGTATTCACCTGGTGATCTGGCCCGTAACACCCCTCTTGTATTAGAATGTCTCCCTTCTGGATGAAGGAGCACAGGGAGCATCTTTGGACAGCAGAATTGTCAGTCTGGAGAGAGTGGAGTGTTAGACGTACTACCAGATTAAGATACACCAATTAAAGCCAAACTCCATCTAACACTGTAATTACACAAGCAGTTATAGCAGTTTCTTTCTTTTTGGGATAAAGGTTTTAACAAAATAAAACATAAAAGCTGATCATTGTAAGTACCCATCAATGGTAAATAGTTTGTCTTAACACTCCAATTGCTACATCTGCAGGAGAGTTTTCTTTTTTTAAAAAAAAAAATAACAGACTTACTGGCTGGATCACCAGATGAAAATAAAGGAAAGAAAGCCTAAAAAAAAAAACTAATGTTGACATCACATACTGTATAAGAACTGGTAAGCTCAAGATCACCAGCGGGGGACCCAAGAGGAGGATTGGGGATGCTCTGCACAAAACTATTGCATAGAGCAGGTAGGTAGAACATGGTTATTATTTTAATTTAAAAAAAAGTTTAACCACTTCAATACCGTTCACTTTTACCCCCGTCCTGCCCAAGTCAATTTTCAGCTTTCAGCGCTCTCACACTTTGAATGACAATTGCGTGGTCATGCAACACTGTACCCAAACTAAAATTATGTCATTTTGTTCACACAACTAGAGTTTTCTTTTTGTGGTATTTAATTTTCTCTCTTAAGATTTTTTTTTCATATTACGCTATAACCAAAGTAGTATAATGTTACCATAGTGATTAGTGTTTTTTTTTTAACACAATTTGATTGCTTATAGCAAAGAATTTGTTTGCTATAAGCAAACATTTAACTGAATGAAATCAATTCATTCAGCTTTTGTTCTGATTAGCTGTGATTGGCCACGGCTAATCACATGACACAGATGGGCTGTGATTTGCCCAGCTTGTGCATGGGATTACTGTGACCATTCACAGCTAGACACACTTGCATACAATGGATGGCATGAAAGGAAGCCATCCATTGTATACAACTGTCATGTGACCTGCTGTGATTGGTCACAGCAGGTCACATGGTACTGGCAACAGGGCCGGTACACAGATTTGTCATCGGCCGTGTCTAAGGTACACAGCGCGGCCCTGCGGGCACACGCAAACCGCAGTCTGGGAAGGACGTCATATGACGCCCTCCCAGAGAAACGAGAGTCCTATAGTCATTTGACTATAGGCCGGGCAGTAGTTAATGTCACTTTAATCTCTTCAATAGAACTTGAGAAAGCAGAAATTCCAAACTACAAGGTGACAGGAACAGGAGTTCCCAAAACGTCCTCTTAAAGTGGCTGTAAACCCTTTCCTATTCCCAGTGAAGCGACTGGCCTTAGGTGATACAGAGAGATGAAATTAATCCTCCTACATAAGTTTTACCTGTTTACCTACATTCCTCTCTCCTCTACAGCCATGCAAAGTGCAGAAGTTATACAGCTTGTGTGAGCTTTCAGAAAGCAAAGGGAGGGGAGCTGAAGTTATACTCAACAGAGCTCAGTGAGGAGAGTTTTGAGAGCGGATTGGAGGAAAGGGACCCCCCTTCACACAGCACAGGAACAAAACCAAGGCTGTCAATCAGGAGCTCTGTGCTGGAGATCCCTTCCTTGTCACCTTTTTACCTCTTAGTGTCAGGAAAACTTGTCAGAAGTGCCTTATACTGATTACAGAGGAATGTGGCATCAGACAGAAATGACACTTAATTGAGACCAGTACACACTATAGGGGGTTATTTTTTCTCTTTATTTCAGGTAATTATATAAAACTTATATTTACATATACAGTATCCAGTAAGAGAGTGAGAGCGATAACACCAAATTTAACACACCTGCTCCCCATTCACACCTGAGACCTTGTAACACTAATGAGTCACATGACACCAGGGAGGGAAAATGGCTAATTGGGCCCAATTTGGACATTTTCACTTAGG